GTGAAGCACATCGAGAGGGCGCAGGTAAATCATCGTCGTGGCACGGACCAACAGCGCGTGATATGCAAGAGTTGTATGCGCCTGGGTTTCACGGCGCGCAGTTGGCGCAGCTACCAGTGCAGTGGGAGACGCCAAAGGAAGTTGCCGATGTCAGCGTTCTCCGTGGCGGCCTGGAACGTCAAGCGCGCCGGGGAGAACCGCGCCTTCAAACGCAAGTCATGCCAGCGATGCCCGTCCGAGTGTGCACGCGGGGGGTCGCGTCGGCAATGCCGCCACGATTGCTTTCGCCTTCGGAAGGAGGGCCAGGGCGGGGGGGGAGAGGGGGGCAGAATGTACCTTGATGGGGGGTGCCGAGAGGGGAAATCATGATGATGTTGATGATGCCGCTGATGGTGACGATGATGACGATGATGATGGTGATCTGATAATGATGAGGATGATGATGCTGATGATGATGATGATGATGATGGTGGTGATGATGATGATGATGATGGTGTTGATGCTGATGATGCTGACGATGATGATGATGCTAATGATGATGCTGATGCTGATGATGACGATGGTGCTGGTGATGACGATGATGATGCTGCTGATGATGAAGGTGATGGTGATGATGATGATGATGATGATGTTGTTGTTGATGATGATGATGATGGTGGTGATGATGATGATGATGATGATGATGATGATGATGATGATGATGATGATGATGATGATGATGATGATGCTGAGTGTGGTGCTGACGAAGCCGATATCGTTGACCTGACCTGCCAGCTATGCGGCGACGCGCTAGGCACCCTTCTGCATCGCCGTTGCTGCGCTGTTTCGCTGCCGCCGGAGGGGTGGCCTGAGCCACCCAGCGCGTGCTCGGACCTGTTGTCCGCGTTCCTGGAGGCCTGCGTGAAGCTGCTCCGCACGCCGGGGCTGCTCGCCCTTCGGCTGCCGCGGCCAGTGGCGCAGGAGGAACCCGCCGTGCGCTGGTTCCCGGCCCCGCCAGACGAGGCACGCGCAGACTTGTGGTGTTACACGGATGGGTCGATGCGGTTCGGCTCGCTATGGGAGCTCTGGCGCACGGGATGCGGCATCGCGGTCGTTCCTGGCCGTGGCGACCTAGTCGCGTACGGTTGCGCAGTGCCTTCCCTGTGGGTCCGCAAAGCTGCGGCCGCGGAGTTTTGGGCGGTGGCGCTCGTGCTCTCCATCACCGTCGCGCGCCCAGCACCCGCCCGGATTGCCAGTCCATCCTGACTACCGCTGCGGCCAGGACGACGGCCCAGCGACGCGGCCCACGCGCATGCTCGCGCAGCTGTGGTCACGCGTGTCAGCGCTCCTGGACGGCGACACCTCGGAGCTTCTGGTGGCCGGGAGGCTCACTTGGATGCTGGCGCGCGGCTCTCTTGCCAGCATCGGCGCAGCCAGGAGGTCCGACGGGCGTGTCGTAACCGCGTTGGGTTGGCGCGCGAATCGCTTGGCCGACGCTGCTGCCCAGGTGGCTGCGCCGCGGGCGCGCAGCTCTTCGAGAAGGCGGAAAGGCTCGTGGCGCATGAGGGCGCGGTCGTGGGGGCCGTCACCCATGCCGCGAACAACCACGTTCGCGAGCTGGTCGGGCCTGGCGGCGCCGTCTGGCGCGTCACGGTGCGCGACGCGGCCGCCGTGCGGCGCCCGCGGGCGTTGGCTCGCGCTGGTGCCCCGCCGCAGCGCGCGCCGCTGGCACCGCGGCTGCCCGCGTGGGGGGCGCCGCCGCCGCCCGCCGCGCTGCCGCCTGCCGCGGCCGCCGCCGCTGGCCGTCCAGGCACAGGCCGCAGCAGCACGCGCGGCTTCTGTTGCGCGCGCGGCCGCTGCCAGCGCGGCCGCGCTGGCCATCTGCGATGCGCGAGCGGCCGCGGCGCAGCCGTCGTCGGCGCCGCCGGCGGCCGCACGTCTGGGCGCCGCGGCGTAGCCCGCTGCTGGGCTGCTGCGGGCGGCTGCCCCAGTGGGGTTCCAGATGCCTGCGTAGCTTGCGATGCGGGCGGCAGCAGGCTGAGCCGGCCGCCCTCCTCTTCTTCCGCCTCTTAATTCGGTGCCCAGAGCTTTCGCGGGCGCGCGCGGGGACGCGCTGCTGCCTCGGGAGCGTTGTCTTGCCGCAGCGTGATGTTGATGCTGATGTTCTTGAGGAGGAGGAGGAGGAGGAGGAGGAGGAGGAGGAGGAGGAGGAGGAGGAGGAGGAGGAGGAGGAGGAGGAGGAGGAGGAGGAGGAGGACGAGGAGGAGGCCACCACGCACGGGGCGCGCCTGCCAGGTGCCCGAGCGGCGCCGGTCAGAGCGGAACGCGGGGTTGACCAGGGTTGCCCCCTCTCCCCGGCCTTCTTCGCCGTGGCGACGGCGACGCTTTACGAGAGCCTGGCGGCGGCGGCGCGCCACGTGGACCCCGAGGCCAGGGTGGTGGCCTACCTCGACGACGTGTACGTCGTTGGCAGCCCGCGCGCACTGGCAGCAGCGCTCCTCGCAGCGCCGGCGCTTTTCTCGGCGCGGGGCCTCCGCTTGAACGCGCGGAAGACGAAGGTCTGGAACCCGCGCGCCTTGGACCTCCCAGGGCCACTGGCCAGGGCGGAGGTGCCCGAGCTGACGTGCGTAGGAAGCACCCTCCCCTACGTGCGCAACGCCGCGGGGGCAGAGGAGGACCAGGGCGCCGACCCCGCGAGGGCGAGCTTCTCGCCGGCGACCGCCCCGCAGAAGGCCCGGGACCACCTCGACGCTTACCTCGCCGCTCTCCGCCAGCTCAGAGCGCACGGTCTGCGTGCCCAAGACGAGCTCGTGCTGCTCCGCACTTTCGCCAACGGCGCGGCCCTGCACCACGCGAGGGCGCACTTGCTGGACGAGGCCTGGTGTCGCAGCTACGACGAGGCGGTTCTCAGCCACCTGCACGAGGTCCTGACGCCGCTCACCGGGCACCAGGCGCTGCCTGCTCTCGCGCGCGACTTGGCCTTCCTGCCAACGGCCGACGGCGGGGTAGGGCTCCAGGGCCTCGCGCACCGCAGGCTGCCTGCCTTCGCGGGGGCCTGGCAGGCGTGCTTGGCTGGCGTCTGCCGCGAGCTCAGCCTACCTAGCCTCGAGGCCTTCCAACAGGCTTGCCCGACGGCGTGGGGGGCGGCCGAGAGCGCGGGCCGCGCGCTCTCGGTGCGCGGCACGGACTGGGTTTGCGCCGCCGCAGAGCCCAAGGCCAAGGCGCAGCGGGCCCTCGCAGCGCCAGAGCAGCACGCGCGCCGGCAGCGGCTCCTGGGCGCCTTGCCGCCTACACAGGCAGCGCTGCTCCGCTCGGCCAGCGGGAAGGGCGCGGGAAGCTGGCTCCTGCCGCCGACAGAGGAGGACCACGTGCTGGCGGACGCGCACTTCCTCCCTGCCCTGGCGCTGCGCCTGCAGCTGCCCCTGCCTGCGGCTGCCAGCCCCACCTGCCTCCGGCGCCGGGAGGACGGCTCGCGCTGCGGGGCTGACCTGGCCGCGACACCAGGGCACTGCCTGGGCTGCCACGTCGGCGGCGGCACGACCAAGCGCCACGACGGGGTCGCGGACTGGCTCGCCGGCTGGCTGCGCGCCCGAGGCGCGACAGGCGTGAGCACGGAGCAATTTGTGCCCGCCTGGGACAGGGCGCGCCCAGATGGCACAGTCGAGGCAGCCCGCCTCGATGTAGCCTTCACTGACCCCACGGCCGGCGCGACTTACGTCGACGTGGTGGTCACGGACGCCGCTCTTGGCGCAGACACGCCAGCGGGCAGGAGCCGCGCTGTCCGGGACGGCGCGGCCGCGGCTGCTGCGGAGGAGCGCAAACACCGGCGCTACCCTGGCCAAGCGCTGACTGCCTTCGCGCTCGAGGCCTTGGGCCGCGCGGGGCCCGAGGCGCAGGCGCTCCTGCGCACCTGGGCGCGCGGCGACGCCGCGGCGCTGGCGACGGCGCGCCAGAGCCTGGCGGCGACGCTGCAGCGCGGCAGCGCGGAAGCTTACCGCTCCGCTTGCCTCGACGCGCGCGGCCGAGCGCGCCGCGCCGGCGGCGCCGAACCGGCGGCCCGCCGCGCGCGCGCGAGCTGAGCTGGCTGAGGGGCGCGCGAACTGACTTGCGAGGGGCGGCGGAGCTGGGCGCTGGAAGGGCGAGGAAGGGGCGCTGGAAGGGGCGGGGCGGCGGAGGCAGGGCGCTGGGCGGCGACAGCGGCGCGGCGGCGAGCGGGCGCGGGCGGGGGGCAGCAAGGGAGAGGCGCCGCGGGAGCTGCAGGCCGGCGCTGCCGGAGCGCGCGCGCGCGCCGAGCGCTGGGCGGCAGGCCGCTGCGCGCGACTTCAGCGCGGCTCGGCGCAGGGGCGCCTGCGGGACAACTGGCGGACGAGCTGGCGCAGCAGCGCCGCGAAGAGTGAGGGGCCCGGTCGGGCGGTTTGCTTTTTTCCTCCTCCTCCTCCTCCTCCTCCTCCTCCTCCTCCCCCCCCCCCTGCCCGAAAGCGCGCAGGCGGCGGCCGTGTAGCGGCCGGGACCGGCCCGAACCCCATTGCCTGGGGGTCCCCCTGTGTGATGGGGGTGGGGACCCACTCGGGTGCCCCCAGGCCGAGGCGCAGGAGGAGGAGGAATAGGAAGAGGAGGAGGAGGAGGAGGAGGAGGAGGAGGAGGAGGAGGAGGAAGAGGAGGAGGAGGAGGAGGAGGAGGAAGAAGAGGAGGCGGAGGAGGAGGACGAGGAGGAGGAGGACGAGGAGGAGGAGGAGCGGAAAAGGGCGTGGGAAAGGGAACGAATGGAGGACGTTTTGGCCAGGAATGTCCTGGGCAACACGATAGAAACAAGTGTTGGGGTTCCTAGTCTGGACGTGTCTTGGGGCCGTTCAGGAGCCGTCGGAAACCATTTGGGAAGCGTTTTGGGCCGTCGTCGGCATTTCTAGGGCAGTCTTGGACCCTCCTCGTCGTTCTTGGCTTTGTCATCGTCGTCGTCGCCGTCCTCGTCATTGTCGCCGTCCTCGCCGTCCTCGCCGTCCCTGCCCCCGCCGTCTCTCCAGGGGCCGCGCCGCGAGAACGCCCCGCCGCTGGACGCGCTCTGCGAGACCGCGAAGATGCCCCAGGCACGCTGGCCGGTGCCGCTGCGCCGCCTCTTGGCCGGGCGCGTCCTGGATTCGGTCGGGGTCAGTCCGTGTGCTCGTGTTCTTGCCAGGAGCCAGAGGAAGAAAAGGTACCAGTACTGCGACTGGGATCGCCGCGGGGGCTGTTAAGTGGAAGGGGGGGGTTATGAGCGGATGCCCAGGTTCGCATTCCCCACGTGGTTTACGTAGGGGGAATTGACGATCCAGGTTAAGAGGGCTCCGTCCATTTTAGCGGACTTGTATCGGAGGTTGGGGGGTGAGATCGCAGTGAAACGGAGACCTTCCACCGGGAAATTGGTTTCGGTTTCGTGTTCGTGTCGTGCGTGCGGGCGAGGCGAAACTGCGCGTGATCCTCCTATAGCTAGGCCGAAGTAGGAACGAAAGTCCGTTTCCCGTCCGCCGGTGGCCGGGAAGTGTCCCAGTTGGGCCGGGCGGTGTCCGGGGTGTCCTGGGTGTCCCTAGTGCCCCGGCGCTAACGCATGTCGTTAATTTCATGATTATTTTTGTTCGGCGCCTGCGGCGGGCTTTCTTATCCAATCCAGCTTATCTTATCCAATCCATATTGTCCCTATCTTATCCCACCCAATCCAATCCACCCAACCCAATCCATAAATTCATTAGTTTCTGCGCCTGCGGCGGGCCAATCCAATCCATATTATCTTATCCAATCCATTTCTTCCAATCCAACCCATCTTATCTTATCCAATCCAACTGATCCCATCCAATCCAATCCACCCAACCCAATCCATCAATTCATTTTTGTCGGCGCCTGCGGCGGGCTGTCCTATCCAATTCATGGTATCTCATCCTACCAGTTTTGTCCAATCCAATCAATTTTATCCGTAAGAGCTTCGCCCCCTGCCGCCGGCCCCCTCTCTCGGAGAATGGGCCATGGAAGAGCTAAGTCATGAGGCCTTGGCGCTGTCGTGAAGCAGTATCGAAACTTCATGCGAAGCCGAGTCGCAATCAGCAAAACCAACTGATCACAAGAGGGGTTACCACACCTGGCGATTGGTAAGACGTGTATGGTTTAAGGGCTTGGTTACCACACCTTGCGATGAAAGGGCCGAGGGAGTTCTCGCAGTTTGGGTTACCACGCCTTGCGATGGATGTGCGTGATGGGTTCGAATTTCAGAAATGTGGCAAATCCCATGTGTTTTTGGACCCTGACCCCGCGGATCTGCATAAGGGGTGGCGCCGAATTTCAGAAATGTGGCAAATCCCCTGTGTTTTTGGACCCTGACCCCGCGGATCTGCGTGAGGGGTGGCACCGAATTTCAGAAATGTGGCAAATCCCATGTGTTTTTGGACCCTGACCCCGCGGATCTGCGTGAGGGGTGGCACCGAATTTCAGAAATGTGGCAAATCCAATGTGTTTTTGGACCCTGACCCCGCGGATCTGCGTGAGGGGTGGCACCGAATTTCAGAAATGTGGCAAATCCCATGTGTTTTTGGACCCTGACCCCGCGGATCTGCGTGAGGGGTGGCACCGAATTTCAGAAATGTGGCAAATCCCATGTGTTTTTGGACCCTGACCCCGCGGATCTGCGTGAGGGGTGGCACCGAATTTCAGAAATGTGGCAAATCCCATGTGTTTTTGGACCCTGACCCCGCGGATCTGCGTGAGGGGTGGCACCGAATTTCAGAAATGTGGCAAATCCAATGTGTTTTTGGACCCTGACCCCGCGGATCTGCGTGAGGGGTGGCACCGAATTTCAGAAATGTGGCAAATCCCATGTGTTTTTTGGACCCTGACCCCGCGGATCTGCGTGAGGGGTGGCACCGAATTTCAGAAATGTGGCAAATCTCATGTGTTTTTGGACCCTGACCCCGCGGATCTGCGTGAGGGGTGGCACCGAATTTCAGAAATGTGGCAAATCTCTTGTGTTTTTGGACCCTGACCCCGCGGATCTGCGTGAGGGGTGGCACCGAATTTCAGAAATGTGGCAAATCCCCTGTGTTTTTGGACCCTGACCCCGCGGATCTGCGTGAGGGGTGGCACAGAATTTCAAACATGTGGCAAATCCCTTGTGTTTTTTGACCCTGACCCCGCGGATCTGCGTGAGGGGTGGCACAGAATTTCAAACATGTGGCAAATCCCATGTGTTTTTGGACCCTGACCCCGCGGATCTGCGTGAGGGGTGGCACCGAATTTCAGAAATGTAGCAAATCCCATGTGTTTTTGGACCCTGACCCCGCGGATCTGCGTGAGGGGTGGCACTGAATTTCAGAAATGTGGCAAATCTCGTGTGTTTTTGGACCCTGACCCCGCGGATCTGCGTGAGGGGTGTCGTTTTCGAGCCCCCCTCAGTAATTTAGACAACGCGCCCAGGGGACGCTGGAAAATCTTGTTTGGGCCTCCCCCCCCTTCGCGCGGTCAATCAACTACTTACAGTAACCAGCAAGAAGTCAACTAGTTACAGTAACCAGCAAGAAGCAGAACTGTAACACTGGAAACTAGAAACTACAACTGGTACAGGAAACTGCGAATCACGCGCCTCGCAGCCTGGTGGCCCCACAAGGGGGCCGGCGGATTTCATTCAACCCATATTGTCCCATCTTATCTTATCCCACCCAGTCCAATCCACCCAACCCAATCCATCAATTCATGTGTTTCTGCGCCTGAGGCGGGCCAATCCAATCCATCTTACCTTATCCAATCCATTTCTTCCTATCCAACCCATCTTATCCAATCCATCTTATCCCATCCAATCCAATCCACCCAACCCAATCCATCACATCATTGTTGTCGGCGCCTGCGGTGGGCTGTCTTATCCAATTCATTTTATCTTATCCAATCCATCTTGTCCAATACAATCCGTCTTATATTATCAGACCCATTTTGGTCCCATCTTAGTCTATCCCAACCAATCTAATCCACCCAACCCAGTCCATCAATTCATTTGTTTCTGCGCGTGCGACGGGCCAATCCAATTCCAATCCATCTTGTCTTATCCCATCCATCTCTTCCTATCCAACCCATCTGATCTTATCCAATCCATCTTATCCCATCCAATCCTATCCACCCAACCCAATCCATCACTTCCACCCAACCCAATCCATCAACGGAGAGAGAGAGAGAGAGAGAGAGAGAGTGCGAGAGTGACAGAAAGAGAGAGAGAGAGAGAAAGAGAGACAGATAAAGAGAGATATTATATCAAGGTGACAGGCTGGAGGCAAGTCAGGGTGGGCATTTGATCTCAATCCCCCCAACCTCCTTATCGCCCGCAGGGCACTCGTATAGGTAACCATCCTTAGCGACTTGGGGCGTTTGTAATCCACATATATGAGCCAGGTCGGGCCAGATGTAACCCACCTCAGCATCCAATTGTGCCCCCCTTTCCCTTGACAATCCCTGCGGACATCCCAGTGCCCTTCCCTCGTTTTCGTATGTATGGGCCTCTGTGGAGGCCCACGTCGCCACGGCAGGACTCGCTCCGACATTCCGGTCACAACGCATCTTTGACAAGTCCGTGGAGTTGCGGTATGGGTATATTGTTGCCCCCCCAGGGATGGTGAGTGGGCTGGCCCTGGGCCTTCAGTATGGGCATGTGCAGGACTGGCGTGGTGTATGATCGGCGTTCCGCAAAGGGGGCGGAGGAGGGAGGTTCGAGGTTCGACGGGCAGGGGGGGGGGGGGGGGGGGGGTCCCCCCCCCCCCCAGTCGCCTGCCATCCCGCCCTGCTTCTCCTCGACGCTGTCCACGCCGCGCTGCGTCGGGGCCCCCATCGTCCTTGAGGCGCCGCCGCGCGCCGCCCGCGTCCCTCTCTCTTTTCGGCGGCTCCGCCCGCGTGTAGAAGCTTGACGCAAGGAACAACACTAGGTGGGGAACACACGAGGACGAGGAGGGGGAGGAGGGAGGAGGGTGGAGGGAGGAGGGGGAGGGAGGGATGAGGGAAGAGGGAGGAGGGCGCAGGGCGGAGAGAGAGAGAGAGAGAGAGAGAGAGAAAGAGAAGTAGGGAGGGAGGGAACGAGGGAGGAAGGAAGGCGGAGGGAGGAGGAAGGGAGGAGGGAGCAGGGAGCAGGGAGCAGGGAGCAGGGAGGGAGGGAGGGAGGAGGGGAGGGAGGACGGAGAATAAACCCTCCTTCCAAGCTCCCTGGGTGCGAGCACGGGGGCGCGAGCGTCCAGCAGCTCGCATCGAGCATGACAGATGCCTTTCGTTGTGCTGCCCAAGACGCTCTCCCGACTCTAGCGAGGAGACCGCGGCGACCATGGATCTCTGACAAGACACTCCAGTTCATAGACCAGAGAGACTCAGCGAGAGCGCGCGGGAACACGCAGGAAGAGCGGCGCTTGCACCGAGCTGTCAGAGATTCCGTCCGGGCGGACCGTTCGGATTGGTTAGAGAGCCAACTCGCCTCTGGAGACTGGGCGCCGATACGCACCCTGAGAAAAGGAGCGCAAGCCCAGCAGGGCCGATTAGCCGACATGGAAGGTCGTCTTGTTGACTCCGACCAGCGTGCCGACACAATGGCAGAGTACCTTTGCAAAGTCCAATGGGCAGTGCGGCCGACAAGCGCAGCGCCGGACGGGACCCCCTTGGCGACGAGCTTGCCGCGCCATGTGGCCCAATCACCGAAGACGAAGTCGTTGACGCTGCTGCACGTATGAAGCAAGGCAAGGCATCTGGCAAAGACGATATCCCGCCAGAGTTTTGGAAGACAATCTGCCGAGCTGGGACGCCTGCCTGCAGATGGGCTGTCGAGCTGTGCAATAAGTGCTGGAGCGACGCAAAAGTTCCAGCAGAGTGGCACGAGGCGCTGGTCGCAACACTATTCAAGAAGGGAGACGTGGCCCAGTGTGAAAACTACAGGCCCATCTCCTTGACGGCCGTGGGCTACCGAGTTTTCGCTGCAGTTTTGCTTGGCCGGCTGAGAGCGGGCGGGGCCGAGAGCCGAATTTGGCGAACTCAGTTCGGCTTCAAGTCCAAGCATGGAACAGCGGACGCCATTTTTCTGGCACGGCGGATTCTTGAAAGAACTTGGGCCGAGAAGGGCGGGCAGGTCGTCCTGCTGGCTCTCGACTGGGCGAAAGCCTTCGACAGCGTCTGCCCGGAGTCTCTAGCACCAGCTCTTGTTAGATTTGGCGTGCCCGCGAAGTTCGTGGAGGTGGTGCGGGCGATCCACCGGGAGCGAAGTTTCTGTGTACGGGATGCCGGCTCGACCTCGGCGCCGAGGGCGCAGGAATTCGGCATTAGCCAGGGATGCCCGCTGTCGCCCTTCCTATTCGCAATCGTGATGACCGTGTTGTTGCGAGACGCGAAGGAGGAGGCCGGGCCACTGCTGGACCCCTCCCAGGCGGTGCATGAGTTGGTCTACGCCGACGACACACTGCTTGTGTCTGGCGAGTCCGATACAGCGACGGCATACATGCGCAGCATCGAGAAAGCCGGATCGCAGTACGGGCTACAGTTCAATTGGCGCAAGCTGGAAGTTCTAGCCGTTGGCTGTAATGCACATATTCCGAGGCCAGACGGTTCCTGGGTGCCGCAGAAAGAGAGCATTCAATATCTGGGCAGCTTGATTTCGAGCGACGGGAAGATCGGCCCTGAACTCTCCCGCCGACTTGGTGCCGCGCGGGCGGAATTCGACAAGTTGAAGCGAGTGTGGGGCCATTCCACGCTGACGCAGTCAAGGAAGCTGGAGGTGTTCAACGCTTGCATTCTCAGTAAACTGTTGTATTGTCTGCACACGGCCTTCCTGAACCAGGCGGAGACGAAGAAGCTCGACGCATTCCACGTGAGATGCTTGAGGCAAATACTTCGCATACCTCACTCGTACATTAGCCGCGTGACAAATTCAAGTGTGTCGGAGCAAGCAGGTGCTGCCCCACTGAGCAATACTTTGCTGAATCGTCAGCTGCTGCTCATGGGGCATATTGCCCGGAAGCCAGCTGATGACCCGGTCAGGTGCCTGGTCCTACGCCCTTTGTCATGCCAGCTTATAGCACATAACTTCAAGCGAAAACGGGGGCGCTCCCGGAAAACTTGGATCGAAACTGTTTTTGCGCACGCTGTCCGGGCCGCGGGGGGTGAGGGGGCCCTGCCGCTGCTCTGGCAAGATAGCGTAATTTCTGCCGCAGCCTGGCGCGCAACCGTGAAGCGGTATTGCGACGCATTGTAAGGCCACGGCATTTGTGCTCATGTGCTTTGCACTCAGCTTCGTCTCTCTCCAAGCTCCCTTTTCATGGGCCCCTGCAACGGTTCATGTCCATTGAGGAAACTGCCTCGTTGGAAGACTAACTGTTTGAAGACCCTGAAGCATGCCAAAACATTGTTTTCGGGATTTCAACGCCACGGATCAACCTGACTGTTGCAACTTGGCGATCCGGAATCGTGTGAAACACCATTTTCGGGACTTCGACACCGCGAATCAACATAATTGTTGGACCCGCAGCTTCCCGAATCTTTCCACAACACGAATGCTTGTACGTTGATCATGAGGATTCGCGAAACTTCTTAGTTTTTGAAGCGAATGTGAGCGGCGCTAAAGCGATGGCCACATTTTGAAAAGGAGCCGCCCTGAATCCGTGAAGCTCTTGCATTTTTTGCAAGCGAATGCGCGCGGCGCTCAGGCGAGAGCCACATTTTGAAAAGGACCCGCCTTCAATCCGTGAAGCTCTTGAATCTTTTGCAAACGAATGCGCGCGGCGCTAAGCCGAGGGCCACATTTTGAAGACGACCCGCCTTCAATCCGTGAGACTCCTGCAAAGTTTTAAGACGCATGTGCGCGTCGCTACGGCGAGAGCCACATTTTGAAGACGACCCGCCCTCAATCCGCGAAGCCCCTGCAAATTTTTAAATTGAATTCTGCGCGGCGCTAATGCGAGAGCCACATTTTTTTTTTTTTTTTTTTTTTAAAAAAAAAAAAAAAAAAAAAAAAAAAAAAAAAAACGACCCGCCTTCGATCATTTTTTTATGCGCGCGCAGTTTCGACACGAATGTGCGCGTCGCTAAGGCGAAAGCCATATTTTGAAAAGAAACCGCCCTCAACCCGTGAAGCGATTGCAACATTTTAGGGCGAATGTGCGCGGCGCTACGGCGACAGCCACATTTTGAAAACGGCCCGCCCTCAATCCGTGAAGCTCTTGCATTTTGCGAATCGAATGTGCGCGTCGCTACGGCAAGAGCCACATGTTGAAAGCGGCCCGCCCTCAATCCGTGAAACGGTCGCCGCTTTTTAGGTTTCAGAGTCAGTTTCATGCGGGGCGTCGGACCGCCCTAACAACTGGCCTCGGGGTGCGACAGGGAGAAGTTGTTTATAAGGAAAGGAATCAGGAATCAGGAACCAGAACAGTTGCGAAGCAACATCCACATCCTCACTTCAAGCCTTGTGCCTTAGGGGGGAGGCCCCTCAGAAACCGATCAATCTATTCCCGCCGTGTGCGGGTAATCTGATCTGGTCTTCACGGATTCGCGAGATATCTGAGCTGGCCCTTGCCGCAGGCTCCACACTCTCGACACAGCCATGCGCGCACTGTTTGCGAAAAGAACATTCTGTGGGAAACGTGCACCCACCCGCCTCCGACGTGGACCCCACCCCCACTACCAGGACTGGACAGCACATCATTAACAACATGCGGGCTAATACACTCAGAAATTAGCCAGGCCGATCTTGCGGCCTTCGAAGACGCCGAGAAACAGCGAGAGCAGCGGGCGCCTGAGTCGTCCAGCACGTGGCGCGTGCTGAACGCGGCGATGGCTGCGGCCGAGGGCGGCCGCGGGGGGAGGGGAGGATGGGGAGGATGAGGTACATCACCTTCCACCACCTGCGGGGTGGGACGACGATCCAGCACAAGTTTTTTGGCTGCCATTGCTGCCAATCGTGCTCTCATGAGCCGTCTTCGCACCAAAGCTGCTTTTCTCTCGATGTCCCATACTCTTGCCCCCTGCCCTTCATTGACCCTCCACTCCTTGGCCGCCTCACCTGCAATCTCATCTGCAACGGCGCTGCCGAGCAACAAGTGAAATGTAATGCCTTGATCTCGTGCCTGTTGCACGTCGAGGTGCGAGGGGGCCCAGATGGCCGTGATGAAAACAGAATCTCGGCTCCCAAGAAGCTTGCCTATCTCCCTTCTGAATGGCCCGAGCTCTCCCTGGGGCCTGAGGTAAGCGCGCTTATGACACCAGCCGACTACCGCACGATTATCAGAAATGTAAATCAAGACTCCACGACTGAAACGAATAGCAACTTCTAGACCCCGTAATTCACCACGTGGAACTGACTGAAGATCCCCAACTAGAGGTCCTGCAATTGAGGGCCCAATAGCTAGAGGCCCGTGACTCATGAGGGAAACCACCGAGAGCCCCACGCGCCTAAGATGCTCGTCGCGCGACTCAGGCCCCCTGAGGCGCCCCCAAAGAGGACCAGGGGGGCTTCCCAAGAGCCCGTGCCCAAGCACCCAGGACTGATGGAGCCTTCTGGGGTCCCCAAGAGCTTCCAAGCCTCGACCTGAGGTGGCGGGTCCACCGCCGCCCACTGCTTGGGGATCACCCCTCGATGCCAAAAACAGGGTGTGGCATCTCCTTGCGTAAGAGCCTGAACTACAAGCTCATCGGTTTCTTCAAATACTGGGCGTGCCGTGTTGCACCGACAGAGCCAGTACCTGTGCCGAGGCGTCTCGGGCCCCTCACGACATCGTGCGCATGTATCGTCCGAGATCAGACCCTCGTCCTTCTTCCTAGCCTGAGGCCAAGAGCCTCCGACACAAATGTTCACTAGAACTTCGGCCAACTGACG